TGCACCCTGACCTCTGCTCCCCCAATTTATAGTCCTTCAGTGGGGCAAGCCCCTCCCCCCCCCCCCCCCTTCATGCAGCAGTGTCATTTTGGTGTGAGAAAAAGCCTAGACACTCTGGTGCCAAGCAGGGAAAGAGCACAAAAAGAAGGTGGGAAAGTTTGCAAAGCCTCTGCGTTTGTATGCAAGCAAAGCAAGTCTTAATCCCCGTGCCGCCCCCTGACCCTCAGCTTTGCTTTGGTGTTCCACAACAAAGGAGACAGTGCCTGGCATCTGGTTGGAAAAGAGTGTGAAAAGAATCCAGAGAAAGCACATTTGCAAAGTTTCTGTCTAGGGAAAATGCAAGGATTGTTAAGGGTGAGCCAAAGAGCCTCCCCAGCACATACTATAGGCAGACCTGACTGGGAAGGTGTGAGCCCCTGTGGGTGACTTTGTAAAGTGGCTGGCAGCTTGCCAAAAAGCAAGCCAGGCTGCGGGGGGAGGACACACCATTCCCCTTCTCCCAACTAAGGGAAATGAAATCAGAAGCAATATGGGCTCAAAAGTGACTTTGCAGGATGGATGCTGTCCTTGCAAAACACTGGTTTGCAGGCCAGCACTTGTGTATTGTGACCCACCCAGACAGCCCCCCTGTTTACCTCTGGAGTCCCCCTATGTACCTGTACAAGAGAGATTGCCAACCCTTCCCCTCCGACACCATGCAGCAAGCGGCAGGAAAAACAAACAGAGAAATGAACCCTAACAATGAATGCAATCCACATTCCCAACCAATCAGCATAAGGGTGGATATGGAAGCAGACACAGGAAGCCAGGAAACTGTTAGACCTTGACTCCATGTGTCGCCCAACAACTAGTGAGACAATAGATTGATGCCATTATGCATCACCTGCACACATTGCTTGTCAACAGCTTTATTCAAAATGGAGACAGTTTCGAACTAGCTCCAACAAACCGGGGAGCCGTAGTGAACATTAGTTTTATTTCCATATTTATACACCTTGGCTTATGCTCATTAACATTTACCCTACCTTTGTCCCTCCTTTGTTCCACCTTTAGTCCTTCCCATTTTAAGCTCCGCCTCTGTTTACTGTTTACTTCATTAGCATGGAATTACCTATGCATTTCACTTATTTACATATCTTTTTCTTATGAGCGCATGCTTAAGACCCTGACCCCTCTTCTTTGGTCACTTGGGCGGACTTCGACCAAAGCCTGGAAGCTTCTGGAGGCTTCTTTACCAATCACCATTCACCTTTTTGCATATGTTTTATCTCGGATTCTGTTACCAGTTATGTGTTGTCTTTCACATTCCAGTCTGTTTTTCAGTCCCAATTCGTACCATCTCCGCATTCCTAAGACTTCACCTCATTCACAGCGCACAGACTTACACAGACTCACTTGCTGCTTTTTTCAGAAAATGGTTGACACAGTTCGGATGGCTACTTAATGTAAGTAAATGGCTGGCTTAGCATAAGCATTCATAAGCAAAATCTGCTTTATCTCCTAATGATACGTAATGAGCTATATGTCTTACAGCACTACCATATTGTTAAGAAAATGCTTGCCTAATCATCTTGCAATGTTGCTTTTAACATGCCATTCTGCCTTGTGATTAGTAGTTCTGCTAGGCCACAGGTTATAGCCTTTTTATTCAGCTGCAAATCCAATGCTCCCCAAGATCCAAATACTATCACCCTAACAGAAACCATGAGGTTTTATTGTTTGGAACTATTATAAGCAGTTACTCGTGCTTCTTTGCCTTCACCCCACCATGACCCTGAACTACCCCTGTCTCCCTGAAACACAGTGGCACCCTCCTGGTCCTTCTGGCAGTTGTATGGGCCTCCTGTGACCCCACTGAGTTAGGGGTAGCAGGCTCAGCTGCAGTTCTCCATCCAGGTTTTTCCTGCACAGAGGCAAGCCAAGCGGACTGACTTTTCTCTTTCGGGTGTGGTACCTGCTTATTTAAGAGGTAGTTCTGCACACTCTGAAAGGCATCACTAAAATTTTCCTGTGACCTCTATAATTCAACATAGGACTCGTTAAACATGTCACATTCTGCATGGTGTCTGGCACTTCCTCAAGGATGACATCATCCTTACTCAGCAACTCAAGGAGTTTGTCCTGCCAGGCATCTGTGCCTGCTGCTCTGGCTAGTGAGGACTCTGACAAAACCTTGAGTGAGCTTTTGTGGGACTGTCAGTACCTGCTGTGAAAATCTCTGCAGTGCTCTGCTGTAGTGTGACCTGGGAGCTGTTCTGGGCGTCCATGAGTCATGGTGGCTGATAAACAAAGAAAAAAATCAATGGTTGCCTTCCCCCAAGAGGAGGAAAGTACACAACCCCACCCCCACCATGCAGTGCACGAAATGCCGGCAGGTATGGAAACAGACCCTGCAACAGTGGGGCACCACTCATACTGCCCAAAACTTACAAGTACCCACTTCAGAAATAGGTCCACAGCTGCCACTGCCCATGCTAGCTGCAAAAAATTGAAGCAAATAATTCGCTTGGTGTCTGTTACGTTGTGAGCTATCGAACCCGTCATGCATCACCACCAAAAGAACATGGTGACCCACCTACAGCAACACATGAATTTCTCCCCCTTGCCCCCAACCTCCCCAGACCCAACCAGCATGAACGTGGGAGTTGACTGGCAGTGGCAAAAGGCATATTACAAGAGACTTACTTGGTTCAGCATGTTCTTGGGTCTTGGTAGCAGTAGATGATGTATCAGCCACATGGGTTTCTTCCTGACCCTCCACCTCCTCCACTTCATTGTCTGCGCTAATCCATGGAATGGAGGGGCAAACTGGCACTAAGTATATGGTGACTGACAGTTCTTCCTGCCAGTCATGGTCATCAGGGAGTGGTCTGTGTACAGCTGAGACATACTCATGGTTTCACCTGTCAGGGGGCTGCTGCCACCTCCTCCTCCTCCTCCTCCTGCCCAACCCCCGTGCTGAAAGTCTCCATACCCTGGTTGTCTCCTGCATCCTTGGAGAGAATGATGGACAGTTTGTCATACAAGGGAGCAATTGTGCGACCTTCCCCAGAACAAGAGTTTGCATCTTTGGTTCACTAAAAAGCAGAACTCAAGGACTTGATCTTGCACCAGACCTGGGTCCAGACATGAATGTGCCCTCGTGCCTGCATGCCTTTTGCTATCTCAACATTAACAGTCTTATTCCTTCTACTTTCCAGCCTGTCTATGATCCTTTGCTCTGAACAAATGTCGATTAAGTCCTCCAGTTCTTCCCAGGTCCAGTTGGGTCCATGGGCATTGGAGGTATCAGCCTTCTGGGACATCAGCTTCATACTGCTGCCCTTGGCTACCTGAGACATGGCAAAGCAGTTTGTGATCAACAGCACAAGCGATTTGTGATAGGGGGCTATTTAGGGGAGGGGGCCCTTTATACTTGGGCTCTGCTTACGGGAGTTAAAATTTTCAGGTGCTTGACATTAACTCCCATTTCATCTACATATGCCGTATATGCGCCATCTGTTAAGTTTGCCATGGGAGGGGAGGCCTAAGATGATGTTCTCCCCATGGCAGCATGGCTGGGGCAGAGCTAAACGGAGCCCATGCTGGGGGAAGGCACAGGGGTGGATGTGGGCTGCCTACTGTAGGCTTGGGGCTCTCCACCCTACTTCCCTCCCTTCAAGAACCCTGTCATCTGTGTTGCATGGTGAGGTATCTCCTGCCACGCCACTGCCTCTGCTGCTGGCTGCATGGCAGCATGGCCAGAGCAGGGCTCCCAAGAGGAGGGCAGCAGGGCTGCAGCAGGTAGGCTGCATCCACTTCTGCCCCACACACAAATCTGGGGGGCACATACTCCCTAATGCCTCTCTCCCTGTGAGTGTGCACAGCATCAGGAAGCCACCCCCGCCCCCCCTCCCCCAGCCCTTCCCTGGGCCGTGTGCACCACCCTGGCTGGGCAGAGCCCCAGGCCCAACGCCTGCCCCACTCCTCTCTCACCATGGGGGCCTCAATCTGCCCTCCCCATAGATTAATTGCAGGCAGCTGGGGGAGCTGCTCTCCACTGATGCCTGGGGCTGTATTCCTGGCCATGTGCTTGTTTACTACAGCTGTGCAAAGCTTTGGTCCCTGATTTGATTCGTCGGAGATTCGGCCCGATTTGGTGGCCAAGT